GCTGGCACGCGTCTGACGCCCTCTTCTATCCTGGGCGCTTTCCTGCCTCCCTAAGCTTTCTGAGCGGTTTGCAGTTACTGCCATCCTACTGCAGTTAGAAACCGGCCTAGCTTCTGAAAAGATTGAGAGACAGGAAGTAACACAGAGGCACAGAGATGCAGACGGACATATAGAGATGGAGACAAGAGTAAGTCAGAGAAAGGCAAAGAGGACTACAGACAGACAGACAGACACCAAGGAGGAGAGGGAGAGGCAATGTGTGGAGACCAATAGCGCAGGTGAGGGGAAGAGCAGGGGTTGTTAGTAGGAGCAGGAAACCCTAAAAGGAGGTGCAGTGTCTGGGGGAGCCCACTCCTTGCAGAGGGGAGGGCTCAGAGGCTGAAGGCAGCAATGTGCCTGCATGTGGAGGGCAGCCAGGAGGTGAGCGCACTGCAGCCCAGTGAGACTGGAACCCGAGGTCAGAGGTAACGTAGGCCGGAGCCCGCAAACCTCTGGCCACTGTGAGGGAGAGACAGAGGAGAGGGATTTGCAGTAGGTTTAGGCTCTACCAATCCCTCTGGCTTCATCTGGAGAAAAGACTGAAGAGGGCAAGGGCAGAAACAGAGACCAGTGGGGGGGCCGTGCCATCCAGGTAAGAGACCAAGCCATGCGGACCAGTAGCCATTGTGAGATGGGATGAGGGAAGAACCAAGAGATAGGGAAGGACAGAGACCCAGAGGCGGAGAGAGAAAAAATGTGACAGTGAAAGACGGAAGAAAGTGGGAACCAAAAGCTCCAGGGCAACTCCTGGAGACAGAGACCAACCCCTCCAGTCCCACAGCCCCAGACACTTTCCCTGCCCCAACTTACGCATGGCGACTGGACAAGAAGCGGAGTTGGGCCATGTTCAGACCCCCAGCAGGTATACTCAGGCCATAAAATCTGTGTTCCAGGCCTATCACCAGAGCGCCCAAGGCTGGGGCCAGGGCTGCAGGGTGCCCTGTGAAGAGTATGGAAGGGGGTGGGAGGGGTGTAAGCCCTTGCAGCCCTCAGGTGTCACAGCACTGCCGTGCGCAGCTCCCCTTCCCACCCCCAACAGCTTCCCAGCTACATCTTCCCCACCCTTGCTTCTTACCTCTCATCACTGAGCCTGGCCCAAGGCTGCCCTCACCTCCCAGATGCAAGAATACGGGTCCATCCTGGCTGGTCCAATGCTGGTCGTTTACCCAGTACCGCTGAGAAGAGGAGGAAAGAATGGGATTGTGGTCGTCCGGGCCTATTTATTCCCTGTTCACCCCAGTCTCTCTCCCTAATGGATCTTTATACACTGAGCAGCCTCTGAAGTAGGCTTGTTTACTTATGTGTTCATCTCCCTCCTGTTGTCTTCTCACCTAGAATGTAAGATCTACAAGAACAGATATTTTGTCAACTTTTTCTCTTATATCCCAGGAATAGTGGTGAGCACATGATAGGCACCTGCTATATATTAATAATTGTAGAATAAGTACAAATGCAGGTGGGTTTAGGAATAGCACCTAGGTGAGATGACCTTTGGGGACTGTGTACAGAGTAGGTGTGAAAAACAGTAAGTTTGTTCATTCAGTAGATATCTCCAAGTGCCTGTTGTGAGCCAGGGCTGGTTCCAAAGCCAGTCCAAACCTCTGCTACACACTGAGACCTGGTGGTGGGTTTAGTGTTTAATCTGAAGGACAGGGAGAAGAGGGACTGAGGGGGGAGAGAGAGAAGAGAGAGAATTGAAGGACAGGACCAAAAAGTAGAGGGTGAGGGAAGAGATAGGGGACAAAAGGCACATTTAAAACACAAGGGGACTGAGCTGAAGGTCATAAGGGATACTGACAGCAACATAGGGTGAGACTGAGGGGCAGAGAGGTGGGAAGACATAGGTATGGAGACGGGAAGAATGCAGAGGCTGAAGAACAGAGTAGAGAGGTAAGGAGAGGGCAGGGTAGGCAGTGGACTCCCCCTTTCCTGGCCTCACCTGTAGGAAGGACCTCCTGTCAGATGCGTTGAAGGGGTCCAGTGGCTGCTCCAGCCATCCCTCTTTAGGGAGGGATGCAACCGCCGGGTCCAGACTCAGGCTCAGGACAGAGCTCTCCTGAAACCGCTGAATGTGCTCACTGAGACGCCTAAGAAGAGAAGCTGTGGGACCCAGAGGGGACAGAGTTAAGCTGGGACCCCTTAGGAGCCCCTCCCTGACCCTCAGGCTCCTCCTACCTGGAGCTGAGGACCCCCAGAGGGAAACCAGGAGCAGAGGGCCCAACCACAAGGCAGGGCCCACGGCCATGCTGTCCAGTCCTCTGCGAGAGGCTCTAGGGATCGTCATGTCCCCAGGGCTGGCCTTGAGATTTATAGCCTTTCATCAGGAGCTCAGGTTTCTTTGCAGGTGACTCTCCCGGGACAGGTCAAGCGTCTGTAGGCGCCACCAACGCGGGGCAGGGACGCCAGAGTCTATGTCTAGAGGCCTGATGATGGGGCACCTGGATATCCAATTTCTTCTCTCCCTGATTTTCTCCCCCTCTCGTCCCCTGACCTCCCTTCCTTAGTCCCTCAGTCTTCCCCTCCCCTCCCTGTCCTTCAGTTGTTATTAAAAAGAGCTAAACAAGAATGTCTTCTTAGGAAAGGGGAAAGAAATATCCTTTAGTTCTAACCACACAAGAGTGTCAACAAACTTTTTATTTTCTCAAGTAAAAAGGGGAGCTGGTAGCTGGCCAGTTAGCTCAGTTGGTTAGAGCGTGGTGGTAATAACGCCAAGGTCGCGGGTTCGGTCCCCTTACGGGTCAGGAGGAGGAGTACCTGCCCTTTTTCTCCTTACGATACTTAAATTTGCTGCAAAGTCACCATTTATGACAAAGCGATGTGTTTGGAAAGGCCACAGTTCTGTATAGAATTCACAAGAATTTCAGAAGTGAAAAATTAGAGACAAATATAATCCCGGCAAAAAAATGAAATTTAGACATTTCAGATTTGACAAAGGGGCATCTTCAAAGGGCGATGAAATCAAAGCCAAAGCTCACTGAAGGAGAGAGCGATGATGGTAAAGGCACAGTCCCTGCCAGAGAGCTGGTGGCTGATATTTTGGGGGGCAGGGTGCTTAGGAAATTGAGGCCTTTCCGAAACTGAGTGGGTTGACAGAACCTGGTTATTTGGGAGAGATGGTGTTGTTTGGCACTCAAAGGCTGTTGCTGAACTGAGTCCATCTCTCCCTGGCTTTTTTTCAGAAGGCAGGGGTTGACAGTGATTGGGTGTCTTCCCAATGTGTGTTCACAAGGCGGTTATCAATGATAGATGGGCTTGGTTTAAAATTGGTTCTGGTGGCTACTTGTTATGGTTACAGTTTATCCAAAGTTTGTGATTAGTTTGTGTTCTCAACATTTTACTTTGGCCTAAAAGCAAAATCAATCTCCCTTCCTTCTTTCCTTCCCTTTTCTTTCTCCATTCGATATCCAAATAATGTATATTTAAAATACCAGTTTTATCTCGATGCTTCTCAGTCCATCTTGGACACCTTTACCTTTCAGTTCACTGATGGGAGGAAAAGCAGAGATGGAGTTAAGGACAGGGTGAGGGGTGGGTCATGATCACGACATGGGTGATGGCAGAGTTGGGGAAAGACACTGGAATGTACGGGGTTCATAACTGGGCCATAAAAAATGATTTTTATTTTTATCTTTGTGCATCAGTTCAGCCAGAAATAATTAGTTATGTGTGGTGGGTCCTATTTAAAAACTTAAATCATATAGAGTCTCTTCACTTCTTAAAATCCAACCTCTGATTTTATTAAAATGAAGACCAAAGTCCTTAAACAATGGCCTCATAAGACTCTATACTCTATGCTTTGTCCCTTCGGCGCTACCTCCGCCTACTCGGCTCATCCTAGGCAATTACAGTGTATTCTTTTGTTTGTTTGTTTTAAATAGATTCAGTGACATAGAAGCATGGCACCGTGTATTCTCGATCCCTCTGCACACACTCCTGTCTCGGGGCTGTTTACTCTGTCCCTCCCGGGCCGGCGGGCACCCCCTCCTTCTGAGGGCCCCCCCCTTCTGAGGGCCCCCTCCTTCTGAGGGTCCCCACCACCGCCAGGCGCAGCTTCAGCCCTACCCGGCGGGCAGGGCGCAAGAGGACCTGCTGAGCCGAGCGAGGTCTCCTTATACAATTCTTGGAACTTAAAGTGCGGCACTGCAAATGGAGCGCGAAGATTTCAGAATTTGGCGGAAATAAATATAAACAGATTGAGATAGAAGTTTTCTGGTACAAAATTTATGACTTTACGCGTTGTTTCCGCCCGGTTTCGAACCGGGGACCTTTCGCGTGTTAGGCGAACGTGATAACCACTACACTACGGAAACCACCCTGCCGGCGGCTTTTTGTATTTCTGAGTAAGTTATGATTAACCTTGACTTTATCTTTTCCTTTTGGTTTGGTTTGGTTCAGACCCTATTTTCCCTCCACACTCGGATCCTCGGCATCCACAGCGTCTGAGCCGATCACTCAGCACAGGCTCCTCCCAGGGCCCCAGCCACAGTACAGGAACCGGGCTGGGGTGCGCAGGCGCCAAGGAAATTCCATATCAAGAAATATCTTGGTATGTTCTGCGCCCATTTCCCGGATCCCATCTCTCGATGACTGTAATTACCCTTTAGAAGCTGGACGGACTGGCAGGGCTCCGAGGACAAAGGCAGCAGGCCTGGGGAGGGGTGACCCCGACCAGGTCGGCCGCGGGGGTTGGGGAGGGGCTGCGAGCCGGTCTATCCGAAGTCACGCTTCTCTGTCCCGTTCTGCGCCTTACGTCCCGTAACGTCCCCCAGCGGGAAGGTGGCCTTTGTGGTTCACCTGACTCTTCTTGGTTAAACGCCCCATTTCCACTGTCCCGAGTCACCGCCCTTCCCGGGGACTGAAGCCTCCTGCCGTCCACTGGTTTCTAAGGCGGACCCCACTCCCCGCCCGAAGCGCTGAGTACAGAAAAGGTGCTCGTCCGCAAAGTCGCCACGAGGAACCAGAGACGGGAGAGGCTCCTGGCCTTTGAAGGTCACGCAGACTGGCTCCCCTGAGGCAGCGGCAGGGGACCTGATGAGTAGATGGGGGCGGGGGGGAAGGCAGGAGTCTCCTCCGCGGTCTCCAGCCCACCTGGTTTTGTTTTCAGGTCAGATCAGCAAGACAAACGCTGTTACGGGAACGCAGACGTGAGTTAACCTTTCTTAGCAAGCGGCTTCACGTTCATTCTGAAGAAGTTATTGAAAAGCCCGGTCCCATTCTAGGCGCTGCAGGTTCCGACGCGCGAAAGCAGGGAAGGCGCCCCCAGCCGGTCGCACGTCGCGCCTTAGTTACAAAAGGCGGCTGCGTGGAATGACCTGAAAACCGCAGGGATCTCTCCTCCAGCCTTAGCGGTCAGGAAACACGTGCTGGGGGAAGTGATGTGACTTCAGCAAATGTGAGGCGGTGGGCGGGCCGCAGAATGGAGAGCGAGTCCCGCCCCGGGGTGAACCCGGACTAGAGCGTGGGTGGGTCCGCGCGCTCCCATTCTAGGTGTGAGTCAGGGCCTGTCTTCCTCCCTTTTCCTCGTGGAAATTCATTCCTCTGAGAGCAAGTAAAGTGACATGTGCCGGGGCAGGGGGCTCAGGGAGACCCTCCACAGTAGGAATTTAGATTTAACCTGAATGTGATGGGTGGGGAAGAATCAGCTGTTCCAAGACGAACAGGACAATTTCCTTTTCCATCCACAGACCTCTTGGCTTCGGTGTAAATGAGTAAAATGGGCCAATATTTTGTGACGAATTTTTCAAGCATTCCTGCATTTTGAAAGAAGTCCACAGTGATCACCACATGTCTTTGTACTATTGGAGACTGGTCCTCAGCTTTCCTTGTTGAGCACTTCTGCTCTAAAAGACAATGTTCCCCGGCACCCTCTCCTGCGCGGGGGTGAACCAGTTCCTCCAGAGCAGTGTCCCAGAGCCATCTTTCCAGGGCAGGTTGGGCTCGCTTTCTTTTGACCATCTGGGGGGTGCAGGGCACCGAATGTTCTTCTCTGTTGCCTACGGGGCAAAGAGCCTCACAAACTTATTATCCATAATCTTCCAGGAACTAGAAATTCTAATTAGTGCTAACTTGGTAAGACTTAATGCGAAAACCTTACCTGGTCACCGGGATGGCCGAGTGGTTAAGGCGTTGGACTTAAGATCCAGTGGATGCATATCCGCGTGGGTTCGAACCCCACTCCCGGTAGTTTGGTGCTCACGGGTATTTTATCCTAAAAAAAAAAAAAGTTCCTTGTGTAGTTTTAAAGTAGGCCAGTTTCTATTTGGGCTTTAATTTAGTCGTTCCAACCTGACTACAACTGATGGGTTTAGGTAATTGACATACAACATATTTGTGTAAAAATCCAAGTTGTTTTCTGTGTTCCTTTTTTGTTCTTTATTTCTTTCTTAATCTTCCTCTTTGAATATAAGCATTTTTCATGATTTGATTTTATCTCTACTGTTGCCTCTATCACTTATGACTTTTAAAACAATCTTTAGTGCTTTCCCTAGGATTTTTTAATATACAAATACAATTAATAAATCTGCCTTCAAATAATATCATGCTGCTCCTGTATAGTGTGAAAAGCTTACTCCCTCCTATATTTTGTTATTGTTGTCATACGTTGTGCTTTCATGTACACTATAACAGTACAGCATGTTTCTACTACTTTTGCACAATGCAATCTTTTTTTTTTTAGAGTGATTAAAAGTGGGAAAATTTTTTATTCATACCAACACTGTAACCATTCCTGGAAATATTAAATTCTTTGTATATCTCTGGTCTCATATTCCTTCTTCCCGAACAACTTTTTATAGTATTTCTTATTTGCAGGTCTGCTAGTAACACACTCTTCAGGTTTTTTGTCTAAAAAGATCTTTATTGTTTCTTTATTTTTGGAAAATATTTTTTGTTTGGTGAAGAAGTCTACATTGACAGGTTTTTGTTGTCTTTCCATTTTGACTCTATACCCTTAAGATCCATTCCCATTAAAACCTGCCAGGTTTCTTTTAGTATAAATTGGCTAAATCATGCAATTCTTTTTATGTGTAACACATCTCATGGGCCACACTTTGTCCTTGATCCCTGGGTCACTTATACAATGCTGTGTGTAGATTATAGCTCAAAAAAAAAAAAAAAACACAACTGGGGGAAAGTATCATTAATTCACACACAAATATTCTCCAGGATGTTTCCTTAGCTTTCCATGCCTGAAGTTTGTGTAAGATTTGGAGCCCTGGGTGAAGCCTTTGCTTGGTTATAAGTTTTGTCTTTATAAACTTAAAAAGAAAAAAAAAGGGG